TATTGTAGAATACTACCTACACTGGACCACTACGTTTGAGATATCTTTTTCAGGTAGTTCAGACACAAACCACGACAGCTTATTGTAGAATACTACCTACACTGGACCACTACGTTTGAGATATATTTTTCAGGTAGTTCAAACACAAACCGCGACAGCTTATTGTAGAATACTAAGCCGGAACATCACGTTTAGGAAACGTTAGCGGATAAGTTTCAAAGTTAATTTTACTTTATTAACTTTCGCTCCTTGTCTGTAATATTTCAACTCCAGACAGTATTTTGACTTTGCACAAAAATCCACTGGACGTCTCCAACTTATTAAAGCTGAGGTAGACAAATTACTGAAAATATTTACATCAGTTATCCGAGATGGAATATCTATAAAAGAAGATCAACTCATTAGAAACTAAAATAACTTTATTTATACAGTTATACTGGATAGCTCTATCAGTTCTAAACTGTTCTTTCTAGAGGTCCAGTAATGGTCATCTCTTTTTGATCCAGTATTACTACAGAAGGAAATCTAAACTAAACTAACTTGATTTGTATGCTGGATAGCTCTATCTGTTCTAAGCTGTTCTCCCAAGAGGTCGACTAAAGGTAGTCTCTTATTGATCCAGTGTTACTACAGGAGGAAACCTAAACTAAACTAACTTTATTCATACTGGATAACTCTATTACTTCTAAACTGTTCTTCCATGAAGGGGATAGAGATCCAGCAAGGGCAATCTAACAAACAGCGAACATACATACTTTCATCGGTGGGATTATGCAATACAGATAGTGTAACATAATTATTTCCAGATGAGTTCCCATGAGCCTCTACTCGTATTTCATAATACTCATCAACTTTCGTTGTTGCGCATGTCAGTACGACACAACTCATCTCACCGCTGTTATTATGCCATTGCGGGCGCGGACAAGAAACAGAGCTCCAATTGATATTGTCCCAGGTGTATTGTGGGACATATTGTACGGCTGTGTCTTGATGGGAAAAATTGGATTTCCAGTAAATTGTTGTGTCCATGTTATATGTTGTTATATTTGTGATGCAGAAGTTATCGGGACTAGCTAAAAGAGACGACAATTATCCCATTGAGTTACCCTTGACGAGTAAAATAATCTGGCGTTAGACAGAGTAAAATAATAAAGTAGGGCGCAATACGGTAACTTAATGGGTAGTATGGTCAGATAGTCTAATTAACCCATGCATTGTATGAAGAAAGTTACGCCTGTATTCTAAAAGCTCACTCACACTCAATGAGTGGAGGTTCAATCTGAGCTTCCCTTGAGTGTCAATGCTGTTTTTGAATAGCTGGAGAGTGAGTAGTCGCATAGTAAGGTACGACACTAACCCTCCAGCTATTTGAAAATAGCATTGACACTCAAACCAAGCTCAAATTGAATCTCCACTCTTTGAGTGTCACTCTTTGAGTGTGAGTGGGCTTTTACTAATACAGGCGTTAAACTATGTCCCTCAATTCTATTTATTAGAATAGTAAATACAATATCATTCCATAAGCAATAGGGAGTTCAGTGATGAAGCGAGGTTAGTGAACAGTAAAAATATGCAATGATACCATTTGTTGTGAGAAATTCTTAACACAGTACAATCCACTAAAACTTTCAAAATTAATTTACATCACTTCCTGAAGTCCTATCGAGATCATAGACTAAAATTTTCAAAATTAATTTATATCATTTCCTGAAGTCCTATCGAGATCATAGACTAAAATTTTCAAAACTAATTTACATCACTTCCTGAAGTCCTATCGAGATGAAAGACTAAAATTTTCAAAACTAATTTACATCAATATCAGACCAAACTAACTTTTAACTCTCCTGGGAGTTTACATGCCGCCTTTAGTTCCATCCTCAGGCTATATTCAGGCGGAGTACCCACAAATTGGTTATCACTTCACCGGCACTAAATTTAGGCATGCAAGAATACCACCATGGGATATTTGAAATTATAACAACTGTGGCAAAGCCTTAGCAGCGACCTTTCCCATGCATGTAGTGCGCATTAAGACTACTCTGTAGTGATGTTTACAAGATATGGGAAGTCGAGAATTAATGTAAGAGAATACAAGCTGCATGTAAGCAGGCAGGTACAGCTATATGCCATATGGTTCGGTTTTGCTAAGAAAAGGGCAACGGATTTTATTCTAATTTTTCTACAAGACACGACAAAGCCCATGCAACATTAATATTCAGTCTGGACTCTTTCAAAAATTCCATTCACAAGGGGGTTCTGTGACAGATGATTTGCGGTTATGCTTCGCTTATGGGACACGTGGACAAGTACAAAGAATGCGCATAACGTTTATGTTGCGCAAGTAACTAGCTCGCGATTAACTCGTCAAAGATTTTGTTCCGTCTCAAACGTCTCAATTAAACAATTGCAATCCAACATATAATTGACACACAAAATGCATAAAACATTGCTTGAATCGCATTCTTTAAATAGGGGAAAATAATACACTTTTTTGTATAACAAAGCTGTCCGCATTAATATTCTGCAATAAAGGACTAAACGTCTGCCATTTTATTTCGTGAGTTAATACTAGATTAGCACCGCTTAGTTTCTAAGGTAAATCACTGCGTTACATTGTACTTGGAGTTTAAAGTTGTAAACCTAAGAGAAATACACTTACTTGCACATGGTTTTCTGCTAAATGACGTCCCACTTTTAAATGAAAACAAAAGCAATACATAGCTCATGAAAGTAAGCAAAAAACGAGCCATCCTTTTGGCAAAAACATCGACATTTCGTTAATGTTCACGCTGAGTTTGAAATTCTAGAATACATTATTTTCGTTTGTTTACAGCCGACTAATGTTTTGTCTTACAGCAGGTGTTGCTATTTCGACCCGTAGGTAACGCTTTTCTTAACTAAAACAACATGTGAAAAATAAGCTGCTGTCGTTTGCCTCTCGGCCCTCTCAATTATCTTAAAAAAGATTCAAGACACTTTGATGTGTCGAGCCCTTTAATAGTCAGGTTTATAAACACAGTAGGGGCTTTACCACATGACATTTTGGATCCATAGCATGTTTTTAGGTAATCCAGACACAACCCACAACAGCTTATAGCAGAATGCTATTAACATGTGGAATTGAACATTTTTTTGAAATTTAATAGCTGTTTGTGAGTTCTTCAATAGGCATTAATCTCTTTCACATCGAGAACTTTCCATAATGAGAACTTTCCTTCATTCATAACTTGCAACTTTTGCAGCGATTTCTACAGGGTATATCAGTAAAAAAAAACCAGTTTCGCAACTCTCAATTTCGCAAAACAACCATTAGTATCCAGTTTTTGATGTATATAGCTTCTTTGGGTACTTATAAAAAAATTTCTCGAACTCAAATTTTGCGAACCAGGCCGTGTGTGTCTTTTCCAACAAACTGAAAATGGCTTGCGCACGAAATTTAAAAGCTTTAATCGTATTTCGAGTTAATGGATGGAACATTTGTTGGGTTTTTAATTACTGTACAAAATTTCAGACAATTTGATTTAGTTTAAGCCCTTTAACTATCCATTTTTTCCTAAAAATTCAGCCTTTCGCATGCTTAATTAATGCACGCGTTTACCTAATTTGCATATTGCTGACACATGCAAATTAGGCAAATGCATTAATTAAGTAGTCAGAGCATTCATAACTCATTTCTTCGTTCACTTCCACGAGAAAAAGTAAATCGTACTAGAAATCGCAGCAGAAAGTCAACATTTTTCACTATATGTGGTCCTGATACGGACGGAGAAAGTAAATGAAGAAGCTCAGAGCTCGACAACTGGTCTCTGTAGCTCTAATAGTTTGAGCGCTGCACCCGGAATCGTAATGGTAGTAAAGATAGTTCGTCGTATATTATCAATCGTATGAATTTAATGCAGTTTTAGAAGTTGAAGACATGGGTTTTATGGTTGGGAAGAGTTCTGCTAAACCCAGTTTGAAGTTGCACTTGTTGCGGCTTGGAATGCAGCCGTTGTATCAAGACGTGAAAATCTGTGATTTCGCGTTGTAAACAGAGCGAGGACAATCTCTAAATTATTTATATATTGTAATTACTCAATTCATTTCAATGATCTATTTTATTGGTAGCCGTTGCCGTGCTAAAATCGTAAGGTCTCTATTTTCATCTCCAAAAAACCCTTCGAATAGACCTTACCGATTCAATTCTCTTTTACCCAATGGCCTCGTTTCCATGTTAACTTATTTTAGCATGTCAAGGGCAGATAAAGATTATATTCCCATGTTTTCCTGGACGAATTTGTTTCTTGCTGTTCTTAGGCTCAATAATAAAGTAATTTTCAACCTTACTAAGCACAAAACATGAGTAAGTATTTGACATGAAAACGAGAAAATTGGGTGAAAAATAAACGGTGAGGTCTGTTGTTAGTTGATCGAGCCGCGAGATGCGCAAAGAATGTCGATGAAGAAGATGAACAACAAATGAGAAACAATAAGTATAATATATAATAAATCTGAATAATTATTTTAGTGCCATAAAAATATATTATATTTAACAAATTAACTATAAATTCAATCTGTATATATGTGTACAATATTTCTTTTAATTACCATCCACCGTTCCACAATAAACCCACCAATATTCTGATATCAACCCATTTTACAAATCTCAATTTTCGACAGAGAATATTTCCGAACTGTCTTCCAAAAGTTGAATGACTTCGTCTCCTTTTGGCTTTGAGAACATGCTATGGTTCGACTGCTCTGTTCCTTTGTGATAATGAAAATGAAAACCATTCATTTGTGCTTTTTGTTGTCGTCTTGCAAGCACAGAAGCGAGAATAAAGACAATTATCGCTAACACAATTACTACGAATATCGCATGTAAGAACACCTCAGCGCCATTGCGTTCCATTAAAGTCCCAATAGCCAGTGGGATAGTCATTTCACCCAAGCTAGCTCCTACCACTAAAATTGATGCAGTTTTCCCAGAAATATGCATAAAAGTTTCAGCCCAACTCATTGTCGACGGAAATACGGCTGCCATGCATAGGCCTAGTATACTTGTCCCTATCCATAACCAAGCTTGAACTGAACTGGCCACAAACACCAACAACGAAGCCCCTAGGATGCAGCCTAGTAAATCTATCACCAGAATACGATAAGCTCTTACATACATCGATAACGGAATGCTTAGAAACCGCCCAGCACAAAAACTGCCCCAAAACGTTGACGTCAAATAAGCGGCCAGTGATTTCGACTTTAGGATACCATGTTTAAATGAGAAGCTGAATATTAGACCACCAATTGCAACCTCTAATCCGACATACAAGAGTAAGAATAAAAAAAGTAGTACAAGCGTAAAGCCTCTGTACGCTCGACTGTCATTGGCAGTTTCCCAAGGCTTATCTCTTTGTTGATTTCGGCCAGTATCTCTGAAGCTTGCCCAGATGAAAGTTATAATAGGTATTACAAAAAACAGCATTGAGATTATGTAAGGGTATTGCAATGATGTATGGTCAACGGTGGTTGGATGTTGGGTATAGTTTGAAGGTAAACTTGAAAGTAAACTTGTTGTGGATGTAGTATTATTTGTGGTTTTGGTTATATTGTGGTGGGGTGTTTGAGGGATAGGGGTGGTTAGAAAGGGACCCACCAGCAATGGAGAAATGAAAGCTCCAAGACCAAACATGGCATGAAGTCCTTGCATCTGAGCATCAGAGTTCTTTCCATAGAGATTGAGTATCAGGACATTCCCACCTGAAAGAGAAATTGGATGTTTTTCATAAGTTGAGTTAAAGTCAGGTTGAGGGCAGGCTCTACTGTAGGTACAGCCAACAAGGGAATTTAGAAAAGTGACACTCAGAGAATTAACAAAGTTTATTGTACAGATTATAAAAGAACCAATATATAAAGTGTAGCCTATTTAACCCACTGAGTAGCAGCACTCTCCCTTTAAATATTGTCTGGCATTAGACAGAGTAAAATAATAAAGCAGGGCAAATTGAAACTTAATGGGTTAACTAGACACATGGGTAGATAACCCATTCAGTGTCAGCACTCTCCCCTTGATTAGTTTTGATTTGCTGAAAGTCAGCACTTATAATTATTACTGCAATAACAAATATACAGTACATGGTGTTTCCACAAACTTATATGAAACATTACCTGTGTCGAGAGAGCCAAGCGCCAGCCCTTGGAAAACAACTGTTATTATCAACACAACAAACGACCTCGTTAGTGGAGTAACGACCACACTTATTGCCGCAATAAAACATGAGGCGGCCAACACTAGGTAACCATTCCATCTATCAAAAAGCCATCCGGCCACGACAGAACCCAAGAGATATCCCACCGAACGTGCAGTGAAAATTGTTGACATTCCTTGAAATGAGGAATTGACTTGGTCCTTCAGGTCCAATAGACTGGGGCCAAGCATTGCAATCGAGATACCCTACAGGAAAATCCATAATTAATAATGGTGTTCAGCACCGGCATTTCTGGGGTTGACCACCCCAAAGGGGGACAATGTAGATCATGCATTATTCATGTCATTAAAATTTGTGTTTGTATATCGCTAAATTAAAACGTTACTAAACAGAAACACAACTTACCAAAGCGAAGAATGATTTAAACAGCCCAAATGCAATAAACAATCGCGATCTGGCACTTCTTGGTTTGTCTCCAAGTATAATAGACTCGCCATTGGCAGATAGATCGTATACATTTGTCCCTGTCGAATTTGTCTGCGATATCGCTCCATTTAAATCAATTTCTTGCATAGATTCCTCGTCTTTCGGTTTAATATTGCCCCTGTTTCGTTTCTTGTTATTGTTCGCCACAGCTGGGCCATTTTGGGGGAAAGAATTATTGATAAATTCGACGAGTTCGTCTTCCGAATCATCTGAACGTAGTATTTCTGTCAAAACTTGAGACGACAATTTCTGCTTCTTGTATTTCACCGATTTTGTAGATTTATTCATTTATACGAAGTTAAGATCCTCCGTTAATACACTGCAGTGTTATTTCAACAATATAAGTACATAAAAACAAAGAAAACGTTGTTCCAACTATAAAATTTAGATTTTTTGCATTTCCTTTCACAATAATAAACTTGTGTCAATTATTGACACTTTTGAAAGCGACTATGACGCATTTCCGGTGCGATTACCAAAATACCATCACTCAAAAGGCGAATTAAATTTTTTTCCCAGAAATTATTTGTGGCGGGAAACTTTCTAAAAGCTGATTGGCTAAAATTGCATGCCACAGCGAAATCTGATTGGTTAAAAGCAGTAAATATAATATATTTTCATTGTTTATTTTTGGTTTCACATAAAAACAAATTTTACTGGCTTTTGGACTTTGATTTAGTTTGTAATTTGATCGCAGATTTTTGAGAAGATGTATTCATTTCATATTTATTCACTGTGATTGTATGTTGTCGGAAAATACATTTTTTTGGAGGCAGAACCGGCAGTAGTCATTATGGCGACAATTCGTAGTGTTGATGGGCAGACCATCTGGTATATATTGGATGATATTACCCAGTATTTGGGGGATTATCGTAATATATTAGCTGTGATAGGTATATTTTATATTCACTCCAATATTTATTGAAATGTACTTGGTAAATGTAGCATGATTATTTGCTGTATTTGAATTATAAAATATAAACACATTACTTCCGGTTGAAATATTTCTGGGAAAATAGCAAAACTAGGAACAGTTGAATTGAAATATGTTGTAGATCTCTGCAAAACCTTTGCAGCATACAATGGCTGTCGCAGCCCGTGAAATATAGCTACTGCATGTGGAACCACAAGGACATTTACCCCCCACACCCAACAGAAAATGCCCATCCTTGAGGAACACATTTACTGCTCTGTGCTTCCTCAATGAAGGGCTGTTTTTATAAAGATCCTAAAAAATGGATCTATTTCTAATGTCAATATGTCATCTATTGTCTAGCCTCCTGTGCAGACGTTGTTAGTGGCCGGGAAGTCAAATGTATAGCGAATGTGAGCAGATGTTAGGTGAGGCCTCGGCCACTAACAATGTCTGCACAGGAGGCTATCTATTGTCATGCTTTTATTCACCTTCAGGCACGGTGTTCATATTAAAGAAAACGTCAGTGTTTGTGTTCGATTTATTCAAAGCATTTCAAACTTACGTTGTGTCAAGATTTCTGCTGGGACGAAATCTCAGGAAAATATGCGGAGGGAAGTGGGCAGGTATGATGCACCCCCTCACTAGGCAGCTAACACCGCCCCCCCCCCCCCCCCCCCCCCCCTCACCTCCCCCCCACCATGTAGCGGGTGGTGGTATGCCTGCAGTTATCAGAGTGAGAAAATATAATCTTAAATATTTGGTGGAGTGGAAAATAAACAGAATTAAGAGATGTAGTTTTAAATTGTTCAACAGTTCTTATTAGGCCCATTGAGCTCAGCAGCTGCACTCTCTCCTTGACAGACTTGACAATTAGTAAAATTGTCTTGTGTTAATTAGACAGAGTAGAATAATAAAGTAGGGTGTATCAGGGTCATTCAAAAGGTTAATTGACTTCCTGTGACCCTTAGTGAAACCTTGTCATCATGCACTTGTAAATCCAATCGATAATCATACAGTCTGTAACTAAGATTTTTTACTTATACTATGTTATCAATATAGTTATTACAGGTGCATCAGATGGCATTGGAAAAGCATTTGCTAATGAGGTTGTGTACAACAATTTACTTTCATCCACTAGTTTACATTTTATCAAAAAATTCTTCATTGGTTGGCATATAAATGAATAATCGTGCTGCTTGCACTTTTTCTTTAGCTTGCAAAGTACAAATATAATATTGTTCTGTTAAGTCGCACATTATCAAAACTTGAAAACGTGGCTCACGAAATAGGTAGGTGATATATCATCAATGCTGACTCGAGACTGTTGGTTGGTTGAAACAAAAACTATATATGCTGGATAGATGTAGTTCTAAACTGTTCTTGTTAGACGTCCAGGAACGTCATCTCTTGCTGGTCCTGCAGTATGTGTTATAATTACAGGAGGAAACTGGAGTACTTGAAGAAATTACCTGCAGGGTTTGGTAGAGTCAAACTGGAAGCACTCCTCTCACATGGGACTGACGTGAATTATAATCAGACAAATGTAATATTGTGGAATTGAACCACTTTTTGCTATCTGTAATTTATCACAATGCCAGCCAAAGCTAGTGTTACATTTCATACATCTAGAAAGCACATATGGTGTCCAGACGAAAGTCATTTGCGTGGATTTCAGTGATGATGCAATATATGAAGACATTAAAACACAACTCAATGGATTAGACATAGGCGTTCTTGGTAATCAAATTTTTGTGTATTATACATTTAAGCAAACCCATTTATACCCCCACCCAGTCTACAGTTGGATTTCAAGGACATGTATCTATTTACCTTTGTCAATGGTTTTTATAGTAAACAATGTTGGCACACATTATGGAATTCCAGGTTTCTTTGTGGACCTCCCTGAAAAGGTAATAGTAGTGTTTTGCAAGAAATCATATATTGGATTGACAAGCTGTTAAACTTCGAGTATCTATTTCTATTCCATGACACTGACAGTGTCTGCTTGCAATTAAACCATTCTGGTAAATTTAGATTCGGAAAACATGATTTAAATGATCATTGAGCTAGGACTGAACTAAATGTAATTTTTCCAGAAATTACGTGATTTGGTCAGTATCAATGTATCAAGTCTAACCATGGTAAGTTTACATTAATATATTTCGTGCATGTTTGTTTATTTCCTGCAGATTGTTCTAGACAAAGTTTCTCCTGTAGTAACACTGGGTCAATAAGAGTTGAGCCTTTCTGGACCTCTAGGAAGAAACAATTTAGAACTGATAGAGCTAATCCAGTATAAATATTTCCTCCTGTAGTAACACTGGATTAATAAGAGTTGAGCCTTCCTGGACCTCTAGGAACAGTTTAGAACTGATAGAGCTCAGTGAGATTTTTTTTATCTTCAACTTAAAGATGACTCATCTGGTTTTACCTGGAATGGTTGAAAGGTAATCATTGATAATATAGTAACATGAAAACTGTACGCAAACTTTCGAAATGTTTTTGAGATGCTTCTTCGTTCTTGTTTCCAAATACTCCAATTGTTATATAGGAAAAGAGGTGCAATTATCAACTTATCCTCGAGTGCAGCTCAGTTCCCAAGCCCTCTGGTTACCGTTTATTCTGCAACCAAGGTATAATTAAGGCCCATTTCAGACATCGAACTTTTCCGATGTGCCGAAAGCACTGCTTGTTCCCAGTTGTTGTAACAAGTTTGGACCAAGCTGTTGATAACTTGTAACAAGCTTGATAGCATTATCAGACTTGTTACAAGGCTGTTCTAACAGGTCTGATACAGTCAGGTTGACGACACAAGGTTGTAACAATATTGTTATATCATGACTGTATCGGACTTGTTGGAACAACCTTGCAACAAGTCTGATAATATCAGCAAGGTTGTTACAAGTTGATAACAGTTTGTTCCTAACTTGTCGACAACTTGGGACAAGCAGTCCGAACACAACTTGTTGACGGCTTATTGGCAGACTTGCTACAAGATGCGAGATTTTTACGCGTGTCGTTCATGATTATCTATTGTTTTTATTGAATTCGGCACATGAAGAGTTCGTCGTCTGAAACGGTTCGAACACTCTTTGCAAGTGTAGATGCACAAAATAAGAGTTCTGAGTTTATATTTATTGTTTTCATCCATTCTAGGCTTACGTAGACCACTTTTCGCAAGGCTTATGTATAGAGTATGCTAAAGATAATATCGTTGTGCAGGTAGAGCATTTTTTATCATTATTTCTCACGCAAACTCAATGATTATCGTTAATTATGGTTGTCTTGCAACCACGGCAATATAAACGTCTATATATCTAGCTGCCTCAGCACAAAAATAAGTTATTAAATATAATTTTCATTTGAATTTCAGTGCCTGAAGCCTTATTATGTGTCGACTGCAATGACTTTCAATGTCTCTCCCAATATCTTCGTGCCCTCGGCAGACAGTTATGCAAAAAGTGCTCTGGCAACCTTGCCTTATTCCCGGAGAACTTGTGGCTATTGGGCTCATGGTTTTCAGGTTCGTTCAAATCCCGTACTGTACAAATTTCGGCTTTGACAGACTTGAGTGGCACAGACATTCGTGCCTTTCGCCTCAGCGACTGCAATATGTAGTTGTCTGATCATCACTTCAAGTGAGAAGTTTAACTTTACCAAACACTATAAGTTTCCTCCTGTAGTAATACGGCAGCAAATAAGGGGATGACCCTTACCAGCTGGAACATCTAGAGGGAACGTTTTAGAACTGATAAAGCTATCCAGTATAAATGATATCGTAGACTTACTCAAGCCAGCTTCTTCGAACAAAAGACATCAAAGCGACACATCCAGCTAAAATCATTTCGTCTTGATATATGCTTTCACAAATCTGTCAAGCCATTACGAGTATAGTTTGCCGCTTTTAAACTGGACAAAACGTTCATTAATGTGCACTTGAGTTAGGCTTCTATACGGTCGAGCTTCGTACATAGTTTAGACAATAGTTACTAAGCTAAAAGCGAATACACTTTGCTTCCAAGGTAGTTGAATTTTAACTCCACAAAACTATGCCAACGTGTGAGAAGTCCCTCAGTAGCTTATGCATCAACTGTTTGTGATTAACATTAATATTTGCATACGAATACACTTTAAGGAAACATAAGCTTTTACATAACATCAACACAACGAGTGACTGTATAGCATGGAGAACAGTGGGATTTTGAAAACAATGACAGGACAATGAAACATTCCGATTATTGGGAGTGGATGTCAGTATTGTTATTATTAAAATGTATGCAAAGGTCATCAGATAATAGGTGCTCTTTGTAGTTAAATAAAATATTTGAGTACAGTAAAGGCTGATTCACACGGCACTTGAATTGTACTGTACGACAATGCAGGAGGGTTGGTAGGTTTGATGAACAATTAGGCCAAACACCGTCACACTAGGCCTTTGTTTTCTAAACGGTACTAATGACGATTTGGCCTAATTATTCATCTAACATACCAACCCTGCAATGTAGGGGAGTTGTGTGTTTGATTTACACAGTACAACTCAAGTTGTAAGCAGGTTGCATGCGACAGTTTTAGGCAAAAGTTGTGTAGTGTAAATCGCCTCCAGATATAGTTAAGCAAAGTGTCTTTATGCCGGCTGGAAGGGGTCTATTAAATAGTTATCTCTTTCTGGTGTATGATAAATTGACGTGATTCTCTTTATATAGGCATGGTTGTTTAGTTTCTGTCCCGAGTGGCTATGGTTGAGAGCTGCGTATTACTGGCATATTTTCTTAATCAACTGGCTGAAGAGAAACCATGTTGAATGACGTCATTGAATAAGAATGACGTCATGGGGTTAAAATGACGTCATTGGAATATTGGATTAAAATGACGTCATATTATTTAAATAACGTGATGGTTAAAAAGTGATACGGTGGTAATGACGTCATGTTCTGTAACACTTATTGATTTGTGATTTATTGGAAAGTGTCTCAACTGTTGTATTTTTCAGAATAACACACACATAACGAGATAGGTTAAAAATTAATAAAAGATTGAAGCCAACACCTACAATGTTAAAATACATGATATATAAAAACCTATCTGTCCACGTTTGACTATTTGAAATAAAATATGATCCAGTTGGAACAGTATGTTCTAGACTTGCTGTCAAACTTGCTGAGCCTGTCCTTTCCCAGCGGCTAAACAAATGAAACGTTAGATCAATAAACTACAGTCGTTTGTAAGTGAGGTTGAGTACAGTAGGTGGCTTCAGCCAATCCCCGGGGATTCGAAAGACAAAGAAATTTCCCCACAAAGATGTCACCATGTCCTTATTTTCCACAATGTTTCCTACGAGTTTTCGCCATTGTTCCTGTGTTTACATGATTGAAAAATATGTCTTGTTCCCTAGCATTAGACCCTTGCTGATTGCCTGAGTACACTGTAGTTTTCACTAAGATATTTTGTATGATACCAGTCCCAAATTGTCTCAAAAATACGTTGTAATACCCCAGTCAACCCCACATGCATCATTCTATAGTTCAAATACACCCGCGCCTCAAGGAATGATTACATTCAGTAAAAGTGTGTTACTTACACCCAGGTGGCATGCGATAAGGTGGTGGGGCATTTCTTCCATCAGTCCGATCATCATCGTCATCAGCAAGTCTAAATCGAAGTTCATAATATCGTTATACTGGATAGCTCTATCAGTTCTAAACTGTTCTTCCTAGAGGTCCAGTAAGAATCATCTCTTATTGATCCAGTGTTACTACAGGAGGAAACCTAAACTAAACTAACTTTATTTATACTGGATAGCTCTATCAGTTCTAAACTGTTCTTCCTAGAGGTTCAGTAAGGATCATTTCTTATTGATCCAGTGTTACTACAGGAGGAAACCTAAACTAAACTAACTTTATTTATACTGGATAGCTCTATCAGTTCTAAACTGTTCTTCATAGAGGTCCAGTAAGGATCACCTCTCATTGATCCAGTGTTACTACAGGAGGAAACCTAAACTAAACTAACTTTTTTTATAGTGGATAGCTCTATCAGTTTTAAGCTGTTCTTCCTGGAGCCGTAAAAGTCCAGTAAGCAAGGTTGATCCAGTGTTATTACGGGG